ACCCAGGCTTCATGCTCTGGAGAGGACACTCCTCGATTCAGAGCATGTTACCATGGTCTCTCGAGACTGAAGGATGCCTATGATTGATTATAGTCCCGGTATTATACTGATGTACTCGGAACGTGGCCCATCCTTTGGACTGAGTGGCACTAGGTGGGTGCTCCCGCATGGGTGGAAGTGGGAGGAATGCCTTTTGAGATGGCTCACGACACACGCCTGCCAAGGTGCTTTGCCTGATTATTCCTTCCAGCGCGGGTATAATAACACCCAGCTCCTGCGGAGGAGCTGATTATTGGGAGCACAAGAGTGCATTGCTGTGCTAATCTGGGAAAGGAGAGGTTCATTAGAACACATCTCGACAGGGACCGAGCAGCAGGAATCCTCTTATTCCAGCAAGGCTGATGAAAGAGAGGTTGATGAGGACTGAGCAATGTAGCAGCACATCTGAAGACAGGATGCTACCTGGATCTGGTCATTCAAACATTCTTATTAGCCTAACAACCAGGCCAAGAACTAGGTTAAAGTAAAATAATTTAATCTCTCTACTGTTGTTTTAACCTCAAGAAAAACAGCTGCAGAAATGTTACAGGAAATGTTTTCTTTAATCGACTGCCATTATTGGGTTTTTTTCTATAAAGTAGGGACCCCGTATCCATGGGGGATTGATTCCAGCCCCTCCACCTTAACTAGCTAGAACCAGAATTCCTGTTACCTTTCCCAACGCAATGCATGATTGTGAGTGGGTTCACTTACAAAGCTGAGCCGTTCCTTCCTTTTTAGCGGAATTAAACTTGGGAGTCATGATTTTGTTAACCCAACCTTTACTAATAAATGATACAGGAGAATCAATAACAACCTCTGTGGGTCCAACACATAATCCATAATCTAACATGTTGTTCCTTAATATTGGAAGGCTCCGAACCTCCTCTCTTTGTCGGTCGGTTTTCTCATGTGGCTGCTCCGCACTGCACATATGGTTACACAGCATGGGTGATGGGCCCAATTTCCTGTTACCTTTCCCGACGCAATGCATAATAAACTCCAATAAACTCTGGCCATTCTGATTTTGGCCCCCCCGAATTTATGAATTAATTTAGCTGCTACTTGATCTGGTAACACTTCAGTCAAGGGAAAGGTGCAGAGAGGCAAAATCACGTTTTTTTCTTGATTTTGTGGAAACCGTACCTGTTGCAGGAGAGGGTGTGTTTGGGGTTTTCCTGTTGCCTTCTGCTTTCTCAGCGGCCTGTCCCAAAGCAAAATCAACAGTACCTGTAAAAGGCCACATAAATAGCATTTGGGGAGAATGCCAGATTAGCTGCTTTCTACTCTACACAACTCTTGATCTTAACCACAAACTCCTGACTCTACGGGACCCCAAGAGCCCAGATTTGCAGACAAGGTGACCTGGAACATCTGTGCATCAGCACAATAAATTATCCAAGCCACTCCTTCCAAGATCCCTCTCACTGAGGTATTTACAAAGTACAGTGGACCCTCGACTTATGGACGGCTCGACTCACAGACTTTTCGAGTTATAGACTTCTCTGGCTGCAAAATTTAGGTTCGACTTGCAGTCGGAGAATCGACCTACAGACCATAAAAAAACCAAAATGGAACAAAAATGGCCGGTTACGGCATTAATTGGTTTTCAATGCATTGTAGGTCAATGGAGACTCGACCTACAGACTTTTCGACCTGCAGCCACTGTTCCAATACGGATTAATTCCGTAAGTAGAGGGTCCACTGTAGCCAGTTGAAACATGCACCAACCATTTTTGAAGCAGCCTCTTGATTTTAAAGTGGGAGGGAGCACTAACAGCACATCTTTACCTTCTCTTCCAGGGGGGTAGGTGAGAGGGTTACTGTTGCTCCAGGGTCTGTTGCCCCAGTGGAGGAGAACACTATCCTCACAAGAAGGAGGTGCAGCAGCCACTGGGAGAGTGGCACCTTCCTTTGCCCCCGGGTAACAAATTCAGCACTGGTATTTATTTATTTATTTATTCATTCATTCATTCATTCATTCATTCATTCATTCATTCATTCATTCATTCATTCATTCATTTCCCATCCATCTAGATTATGTCTACTCTGGGTAGCTTACAATAAAAATATCATAAAACAATTAAACAACAATTTAAATCAATGATGTTAGTATCATTCAAGATGGAGAAATATAGAAAGAAAATTAAGATAGAATATAAGAATCAAGTATTGACGGGATATCCAACCCACATAACCCTTAAAAGTTGGGTATCCAACCCATATAATCCTTAAAAGATGCCATTGCTTCTAGAGTCCAAGGGGTGGACTTAGACTATTCTGCGAACAGGGAGACCATGACAAGCAGATTGCTCCTCTGACCTCAGGCTTCATGTCTCAGGAGAAGCCCACAGCTCTGCAACAGAAAATGGTCCTTGTCCTTTCAAAACGAGATAAGCACCTGAGGGAGTGGAGCTTCCAGAAAGACTTTCCTGGCCTGACTAAAAATCCCTGCCAGTTGCTCCCACTGAATGTTGTTGTTGTTGAGTCATTCAGTCGTGTCCAACTCTTCGTGACCCCATGGACCAGAGCACGCCAGGCCCTCCTGTCTTCCATGGCCTCCCGGAGTTGGGTCAAATTTATGTCGGTCGCTTCGGTGACACTGTCCAGCCATCTCGTCCTCTGTCGTCCCCTTCTCCTTTTGCCTTCACACTTCCCCTACATCAGGGTCTTTTCCAGTCTTCTAACTGAATGTTAAGAGGTCTGTGGTCCTAAATCTACTTGCAAATTCATAGGCTCCTCTGTGTGGTGCTGAGTTTAGTATTAAAACTAGCGATAAGCATGGACCTCAGTTTGGTGCTTCATGTTCCCTTGCCTTGCCTCCCTGACCAATGACCCACTCACCAGCTGGCACATGCTCCTGTCCTCCTCTTCAGCTGTTCAGCCAGTCCCCGGCAGGAACATGGGCTTGTTTGTCTTGCCTCCTTGTCTGAGTGGTTGATCAGCCAAGGAAATGGGGCAGGGAAGTCTGTGCTCCTGCTGGAGACTGGCTGAACAGCCAAAGAAGAGGCGGAGAGGAGCATGGTGTCGGCTGGTTGGGAAAGGGAATATGCGGAACCTGTGGTGCTACACCTATGAACCGACACGAACCTTCGAAATGAGGTTCGTGCCCATCTCTAATTAAAACCATTCATGATCAGGAACCTCTCTGAAGTCATGCTGTTGCCCAGTAAAAACTCTGATATCTCAGATAAAGCAGGGCATTATGAACATATTTATGTCTGGCCTTTTCCCCAAAGACTTAAGGTCATCTACATAACTCCATCTCTCCCCAAACAGAGACTGGTTCAAGGTCCTTCAGGAGGTTTCATGGCCCAGTGATCATTTAGAGTTCTCATCTTCACTACACACTGGCTCTATGATCCTGTAGATGCTGCTCAGATTCCCTAGATTTCTGGATTTACTATGTTAGTATTTTCCAGATAGGGTCCTGGTAGAAGAACTTTGGTGCATTATGTGCGTTGATTCACTAGCCCTACATGTTGGGCTTAAATCCTATGTGCAGTTAGTGTGAACCTGGAATATACATTACTGAAACAGCGACGTCTACGTTGGTTTGGGCATGTTGCGAGAATGGCTAATTGTTGGATTTCAAAAGAGCTCCTTTATGGAGAATTAGTGCAGGGAAATCGCCCCAGAGGGAGACCACAGCTGCGATACAAGGATATCTGCAAGCGGGAACTGAAGGCCTTAGGAATGGACCTCAACAGATGGGAAACCTTGACATCTGAACATTCAGCCTGGAGACAAGCGATGCATCATGGCCTCTCCCAATTTGAAGAGACCTTTGTCCAGCAGGCCAAGGCAAAGAGGCAGTCCTGAAACCAGCAAAATCAGGGAGCTGGACAGGGGACAGATTGCATTTGTGTTCAGTATGGAAGGGATGGTCACTCTCGAATTGGCCTTCTCAGCTACACTAGACACTGTTCCAAGTCCTTCATACAGAGCATGTTACCATCATCTCTCAAGACTGAAAGATGCCTAATCTAATGTGAAACACATATATAGGTTCCATTACAGATACAGAAAAAAGTGCTGAAGCAGGAAGTTTGAAAATCAGTTCAGGAAATGTTCTGGGCTTATGTCACAACCATATACAAAAGAAACTGGTTACCCAGTGTTACAGAGCTCATGAAACTGAATAAATACAAGCAATTGTGTGTGAAGCACTCACCATTATCAGAACACTGGCTTTCGTCCATTTTACTGTCTCCTTCAAACCAAGTATCCTCTCCAGGAGGTAAGTCTACCATGGTGCTGTTCAGCCATGATTTAGAGGTACCCCTATTGAACAAACTCACTAGGGAGCGCCGGATTCTCTTTCTCTTCCGGAATATTCTGGCATGCCAAGAGACAAATGAAAGCGAACATAACTGCAAGATCAATCTTTTACAAGGATTTACGAAACAAGTGTAATTGCATAACCTATTAATCTCCATCCCTCTATGAAACTAATCTGAACGACACATAACTGGGTTTCGCTATAACAGTGATTCAGATGATCGCATCTTAGTTTAATTGTGAAATGAACAAACTTAATTGGTCTGCATGCAACCCTTTACTTCTTGTGCAACAGAACCAAACCAACTAGGAATCCTTTAAACAACTTTAATTTCCTTATTTGTACAGTCTAGTAGACTGGAATTAAAAGCCTGAGAATGGGCCAGGATCTTTAGCTATCTTTAGATCACAGCTTCATATCCTGGCCTGTTCTTGGGCAGGTATGTGTATGAAGCAGCTGCAAGCAGAGGTATTAATATCCCAATGAAGCCATATTCTTTGCCTTTTACTCTCAGAAGAACGTGGTGGCGCTGCGGGTTAAACCGCAGAAGCCTCTGTGCTGCAAGGTGAGAAGACCAGCAGTTGTAAGATCGAATCTGTGCGATGGAATGAGCTACCATCACTTGTCCCAGTTCCTGCCAACCTTGCAGTTCGAAAGCATGTAAATATGCGAGTAGATAAATAGGTACCACCTCGGTGGGAAGGTAATGGCATGCTATGTCTAGTCGTGCTGGCCACGTGACCCCGGAAACTGTCTTCGGACAAACGCTGGGTCTATGGCTTGGAGACAGGGATGAGCACTGACCCCTAGAGTCGGACATAACTGGACTAAATGTCAAGGGGAACCTTTACCTTTACCTCAGCTTGGTTTTCCCATCCTCTTCTTTCTTTCTGATCTCAGAACTGAGATTGCAAACTCCTAGGAGCAAGACCCTGTTTGTTTTGTCTTACGTAAAGAACAATTGTGTCAAATAGTCATCACAGATGTCAAATAATAATATTAGAATGGCAGAGCTGGAAGGAAACTTATGGATCATCAAGTCCAGATCCTGACAAGAAGGAACAGCAGGGAATCGAACTCCCAACCTCGGGGTCTGCAGCCAAAGAACTAAACCACTGAGCTTTCCTAATCCTGATCAACATCAACAGCATGGTTAAGAGCCAAGAAACGAAAAGCAGCCATCCTATGTCAAGGGGAACCTTTACTTTTACCCCAGCTTGGTTTTCCCATACTCTTCTTTCTTTCTGATCTCAGAACTGAGATTGCAAACTCCTAGGAGCAAGACCCTGTTTGTTTTGTCTTACGTAAAGAACAATTGTGTCAAATAGTCATCACAGATGTCAAATAATAATATTAGAATGGCAGAGCTGGAAGGAAACTTATGGATCATCAAGTCCAGACCCTGACAAGAAGGAACAGCAGGGAATCGAACTCCCAACCTCGGGGTCTGCAGCCAAAGAACTAAACCACGGAGCTTTCCTAATCCTGATCAACATCAACAGCAAGGTTAAGAGCCAAGAAACGAAAAGCAGCCATCCTAGGCCAATCCTTCACTTCTCCACTGAGGAGCTACACACATATCTTAGCATGTATCAGTTTTCTGACAATCTGCATATTTTTCCCTAATTACACTACATAAACCTATCCAATTCCTTGATTTATATTTAGGAACTGGGCACAGCACATTATACAAGGTGTGTCAGCAGAATAAAGGTTCCCCTTGACCATTTTTGTCCAGTCGTGTTCGACTCTAGGGGGCGGTGCTCATCCCCGTTTCCAAGCCCTA